TGATTGAACCTCGCAAACAAAGTGCTACTGAAAAAATCAACGCCAGAGACTCAGCTCGAACACCTCAGTTATTTGGTAGCAACCTACCTGCATCTTTTCTGCCAGTTGATGATAAGGATAGACTTAGACATCAGCTAAAGGAAGAACGCAATAAAGAATATAACGAGTTTCTTCGGCAGATGAATACGCCACATAGGCTTCGAAATTCAGCTAGCAATGATCCTCCTGACTTCACTTCTTTGAATTTACCTTCTACCTCCAAGCCTGAACTGAGGACCACTGCAGATGCACTCAAAACAGCAAGTTCAATTTACGAATCACGTAGTTCTTCCCTCCTAGAAAATTCTGAAACTAGATTGAAGCTTCTTGAGCAAGAATACGATAGAATTAAGCGGGAGCTTCCACTTTTAGCTAACAACCATCAAATTAGGTCCATGCCTAGTCCGGATCCCAACAATTTCTCAACTCCTGTTAAAAATCACACCGAACATTCTATCATTCCTTTTGGCCGACTTGCTACTCCTAATTCAAAAAGAAGAGAGAAGGAGAACTATCGAAAGGAATTAGAAGAGCAAATAAGATCCAAAACAAATTCGTCTTTCAGACATAGTGATTTACGCAAAGAAGAAAATTCGTTTTCATTTTTTGATAAACTGTTTGAAAAGAATCCTAAGCCTGTTGAGAAGAAAAATAACAAAAACGAGACAATGAATTTTGACCATATTGCAAAGGCTTTCGACTATAAGACACCCGCCGATGACGCATATTTTAGCCTTGCCGAAGTTGACCCTCTTGATACTTCTCGTATGTCAGTCTTGGCAGATTCAGTTTTAAAGGGTCAAAAGCATTCCAGCACAAACTCAAGTGAATCACCATTTCCTAATTCCGAAATTGAAAATCCCAGAAAAACAAATAAAAATTCTTACGCTGTTGAGCTTCAACGCCAGATTGAAGAGGTCAGGAGGAGGAAGGAGGAAGAAAAAATGAAAGAACTGGAATATAACAGACAAAAAGACGAAGAGATTGCTCAATATCACTCTTCTTATCAAAAGCCTATTAATCCTGGAGGCAGAAGGAGTTTTCCTCAGAGAACAGCTATGGAGTTGTCTCAAACGGATGATAAGTCTTCATTTGTAGGTATTTCGAACGATAAAGATCAAACTAATACATACGCCAGAGGCGGTCATGGAATTTTTGGACATCCATTAACAGATGAACAAAAAAATAAGGCTAATCAATACAAGCAGGAACTAGCGAAGCAAATCAGTGAGCGAAAACTGGCTGCCGAAGAAGCCAAATCGCGTGAGCTTGAACTGGAAATCAAGGAGCGCGAACGAATTGAACTTGAACGACAAAGAATTCAAACTGAATATGAAAATGAGCAAGCTAGTAGAAGAGCCAAACAAGAAGCAATCAGAAAGGACAACGAAGTTTCTAGGCTCGAAATGGAAGAAAAGCGCCAGAAAAGTAACAAAACCAAGGAGAAAAGTGGGGTTACTTTATCCGACCTCAAATCTGCGGAAAGAACTAGGCCAACCGATAATCCTCAAATGGTAGAATCGGCCCGATTGACCCCTAAAGGTTCTAATCTCATCTCAGATAAATCACAACTGGAAGAGCTACTGAAGCCTATAAATTATCAAGATCACAACTCAGACGTAAATTCGGAT